AAGAAAGAAAGAAAGAAAGAAAGAAAGAAAGAAAGAAAGAAAGAAAGAAAGAAAGAAAGAAAGAAAGAAAGAAAAGAAAAGAAAGAGGGAAAGGAAGGAAGGAATTTTTTTTTAAATTAACATTGAAATATGGTACATGCTCCATGTAGATCTTCTAGCATTCAGGATTCTATAGAAAACATGATAATTTGAGGAGAGTGGAATAAAAGACTATTTACAAATGTGGAGGCAATAAGTATGACAACCTACAAGGATTAGATTATTCCCTCCCCTCCAACGAAGGACAACTGGGGGTCATTACGGCCCCTAGGCTGAGGAGGCACAGATAGGGAGTAAATCCTTGGGCCTCAAGAGGACTTTTGCACTTAGAGGGCCATCTGACAGGAGCTGTGGCCTTCCCTAGAAGGATGCAGTGTGACCGCGCATATAGGAGCAGAAAAATACTCTGGCCAAGAAGAGGAAGGGCCAGGGAGTTTCTGAAGTAGATTACATGCATTAGCCTACCCAGGCACTAAGCAAGGTGAAGGAAACTGATGTGGAGAAACATGGACAATGCGCAGCACAGACCTCTCATTTCCTAAGAAAGACCAGGTAGTAAACACCTTTTGCTACAGCAAAACAGGCCACATGATCCAGTCTAGTTCATTTCCACTCCAGATTCCCCACACGTGAACTGCCAAGTTTACCTGCTGATATGGTTTGGCTGTGTCCCTACCCAAACCTCAACTTGAATTGTATCTCCCAGAATTCCCACCTGTTGTGGGAGGGACCGAGCGGGATTGAATAGAATCATAGGGGCCAGTCCTTCCCATGCTGTTCTTGTGATAGTGAACAAGTCTCACAAGATCTTTTCTTCCCAGTCTCAAGTATGTCTTATCAGCTGTGTGAAACAGACTAATACACCTGCCAAGGAAGAGGAAGACAGATGCCAAATTAAACTTGGATTTCAGTTAAACAACAAATTTAATTAGGAATTTTGTACTGTATCTGGTAACCCTGTTTCCAGACCTTCTGAGGGCCAAGGTCAACCTTACTTCAATAGATAAATGGAGGGAGATAGAAAATAGTGGCTGCTTTCATATAGCATTCAGGTAGCTGCCAAATGTGAGGAGAGCCTGGGATCTCCTTCTTTTGCCAGCCACGAGGGCAGGTGCAGAGAGAACGCAGAAGGCAGTTAGAGTGAGAGGTCTTTGCTTCCAGCCTGTGGAATCACAAGAACAGACTTCCAAGGCCTGGACTCCACGAAAGAGGCAGCCATACCTTGGGGGGCCTACTTAGTGCCCTCAATCACATTCAACCAACCTCTAGAAGCACTCCTCCCTGAAACTGGGCCTAGGGGCCACAGGGCTGTGTGTGCTGGGTTTGGAAAACCTGTCCTTCTTCCCGAGGCTACCAGACACAGGACTCTTCTGCCAACAGTATAATTCAGATTAAAGCAGATCTTTTGATCAGTTCTCAACTGGCCTTGCTGACAATTTTAACATTCAAAATATAGACAGGGGCTATGGAGGACTTTTGCTTTGGATTTAGTACTGACTAACAAACATGTACAGTTAGGTAAATGGAAATGATCAATAATTTAGGAGAAATTATGAATAAAGGAGGTGCAATAGTAAAGGAAGGATCTTGCAGAGCATAAGAAATATGTGCCCTAGTTATCAGGAAAGCATATTTCAAACCTATAGTGAAATCATAATCAGATTCTAAAGGGCAATAAGGCTCTAAGAGAAATGGATGATCTCCAATAAGAAGAAAATTTGCCCTTAAAATCCCAATTATGTACCAAGGAAACTAATGTGATCCCAGCACATCTTAGGGGATGAGGAAGGCATTCAAAAAATTAAAGAACATTATAAAAGGAGAGGAATTTAGTGAGTATCTAGCCCATCATAGGCATTCAAATGTTGAAAGAATACAGTCAAGGATATGTGTAGATGTCTTTGCCAAAATGCCAAAAACAAAAAGATTTTGTAGTTACATTGTCTAACAAGATAATAGAAGACTGAAAATGGAAACCTAGCTTGGGTAACCTGAGCTCATCTAAAATGAGAAAAGAAAGTAAAATTAATTAATAGTAGTAATAAGGTTTTGTGAGTTCTAGAGACTTGGTGGACTCTCTTTAAGATAAAAAGCCCAAAATTGCAAATACAGAATCAGTCATGAAGTGAATATTTATTTAGAACTGATTTCAGTTAAAAAATATTTTTTTAGCTGGAAGAAACAGACAAGTACCACAAACACTTTTTAGGTGCCCAGTACACTTCTGTTATTCGATGTCTTTGCAGGTCTTTACATGTGATAATGATTTTGTAAACTCATCTTTTCATAGAGAGAATGGAAAGATAATTTAGGCTTCCCTCTAGCAAGGTTCATTGGAATTTTTGGTATTGATGGTTAGAACATTTTCTTTTAGCTTCATAACTCATTATGGAAGGAAATGTGACAGAGAGGAAGTCAAATTGGAAAAAGGTAGAAGACCTGACCAGTGGTACTTCAAAATAAACGTGCTGCTCCTGTGAGCAAAATACTCCTCTCAGGAACTTGGACGATGCCTATGTAAAGTGAGGATCTCTGAAACTTCAGAGAATACCACCTTGGCTAATGAATTCCTGCGATGATTTGTGTTCTCTAACAAAGGGAAAACTATTTAATTGTAAAGTACAGCTCTGAGCACCTCATTGCATCACGTAAGTTCAAGTTCCCAGACTCAGAAAAATTACATCTCAGGGGCTGGAAGAACCTACAGATATGACATTATCCACCACTCAAAGAAATCACAGAGGGTACAGGGGATTTCGGAAAACTATATGCAGGTAAATGCCTAAATATGCAAGAAAAAGCAATGGGACTTAGTAACATACAGACCAATAATTTATACATTAATCCTTGCTGCAATTTAAGAGCAAATTATTAAACACGTGACTTCTGAGCACCTATAAAATATAAGGATGATCATTGGGAGCCTGCACAGCAAGAATAAGTCCTGTTGAGCTGACCCATTCCTGCTGTAGCCTTGAGAGCAAGGCCGGATAGGTGGATTGGGAAGTACCATAGGCACAGTATCTCTTGGTTCAAAATAGTATTTGACAATTTCTTCATGAAGTTATTATAGAGAAATGAGAACTGCGAGCAGGATACTAATTCAAGTACACTCATTCTTAGGAGGTAGCTCTTCATGTACACAGTGTTGATTAATAGATTAAAGTTGACCAGGAGGGAGATTTAGTAGTGTGCTTTTTAAAAATGGTCTTTAGCACCACTCTGGATATAACTTTCTTTAAGAGAAATTATAACAAACTACAAACCAGAGAGAGAAATAGGTCAGGAAAGGGTGTTAAAATGTTAGAGGGGCATCAAAAGAACTGTAAATGTTTAACTTAGATAAAAACCCTTGAGATACGGTTAGACATAAGATCTTAGATTTTTAGAATTAGTTGGAGCCATACAGTCTCCAAAAAATTAATATGATGATAAAACTGGGTTCAGATGAGCCTACTGACATAAAACTGGGCTCAGATGAGCCTACTGACATCCACATTAACATTTATTGAGCATCCATTATGTGTAAATGCTGTACTCAGTTCTAGAAACGCAAAAGAAAGCAAGGTGCAATTTCTATGCCCAAGTTTCACTTTGTGATTTTGATTGCCCACAGTACAGTACAATGAGGTATTTTAAGTAAGAGAAAGAGCCCACAATCACGTAACATTTTTAT